GATTAATTGAGCAGCCTTACTGAGCCCTGCTCTCTGTAGCATGGACAGTGTCTGCTGGCGGATTGACAGCCACTAGAAGCAGGTTTATGGAGCTTTTCAAGGGCGTTTATGTGTGGGCACTGGTGCTGTAGCTTGGCTCGTGGCTCTACAATGAGAGGTGTTTTTGGATCATCAGTGTGACAGTTTTGATGATCAATATAGATTTGAAAACTTATATATATATATTTTGTGGGTATGCATGTGTGTTTGTCATTCTAAGACTATTACAAGTGGCCTGGTCCTCTTGTTGCAGTGATCCTCCGCTGTGTGTGTGTGTGGTGGTCTAATTTAGTGACACGTGCCAGCTTCCTGGATCCTTGTGCCAGAGCAAAAGCCCTCCACTGTTGATAAGGAGGTGGGGCATTAGGGCAGTCCTTGACTATTTATAGACGGCCCTCTACAAGCAGTCAGCCTTTATGATGTGTCTACTTGGATAGCTTCCCCAGCCACAGTATCCTTTGCCTCCCTGATTGACTGTGTGCTGCCTGCAGATTGCAGGGAAACTCTCTGACATGCAACGCTAACAGGGTGTGGCCTGTTTTTATATTTATGGCTGTTCTCGTTTGAATCTGTCGTCCTGATTTGTGAGCCGGTCTTACACAATGCATGACTGCACACACAAACTCAATACTAACTGTCATTGTCGTCTCCAGTGCCAGTTCCCCTGATTATAGCAGAGGACTCCTCTAGCCCAGGCTTGTCTTTCTGTGCCTTTGGTTGTTTCCTCTGGTGCGTTAAACACATCATGGCCATCCCCTCTTCCACTGAGACCTGCTGACCTTCAACCTTACTCTTATTGAGGCCTGGGGTTGGGCAACATGTAGAAATGTTCTTAATCTTTACACACAACTAGAGACAGGTGATATGCACAGGTAGAACAAGCTGATGTGATACTATATGCTGCAAAAACAGATGTATTGTGTTACCTTGGTCTGTGATGAGCCCCTTTTATTTAGTCTGAAGCAGCTGCTGAGATCTCGCTGCTTTCAACAGGTGGTGTGAGTCACGTAATGTTGCCAAAGTGTGACTGGCAGGCAACGAGTAGGTGGAAATTAAGGACATAATTAATAATGTTAAATTCCCTCCCGCTCTCCTTTCACTACTCACATGACGCTTTGAACAGGAGTCGGACTGTTAAGTTGCCTGGATAATAATCGATTGACAATAGATTCAGCTTAATGCTCAATTGTAATATATGTATCCTGCGTTAAGGTGCGGCTGAACCTGGAGATGTGACTGAAGATCAGTTAACCACCAAGAATATCTTTGGTACACATGTCGATCTGTATGTTAAGTTGCATACACAATCCACTGATGTCTTCCCCAGCTAGAAGTCTGCAGGAAAAGATGAAGTTCAGTGTGGGACAATTTCACACTGCTGCTCTACAGTTTAATAAGTACTAGCACTATACTGTACCACATCAAGAACAAGCCCCTGGGACGTCTCGCAGCCAAAGATCACGTCACTGTTAGCTGGGAGACAGCGTGATGTGCAATCACTGTCGTAGAGGGCGAGGGATTCAAACGGCTAACATAGTTCGGTAATGGGTGTCGGGTTATCGAAAGCAAAATGAACTGAAACTGACATCCCTCTCTGGTCCACTTGCAGTAGTTGAACTATCATCTATAAATGGAGCAACAGTTTTACCACACAGTTGAGCCGAGAGGTCCTGTCTCCAACTGATGACCGGCTCCTCCATGATGATATGACGGGAAGGCTCACTTGACTGTGTAGCATGGGAGGAGTCAAGGCGGTAGATTAAATCTACTTATGTTGTCAACTTGGCTAAATGGGCACATGTGACCCTGACAGTCCTCCACAACCCTAGAGTCTCAAATATGTCAGTGTGAACTGCTCAGCGCTTAACGCACAGGAGGAGCTTATCTGTACCCTGTTAATTCTCTCTTGTCCTCAACAGATCCCAGCTGTTGGGAATCCTCCCTCCCAGCAACGGACAATAGAGCTGGGATTGCAGTGGCTCTTGGTAGTAAAAGCAGTACGGCTAATTGTCCTGTAGTTATCACAATTTGCTGGTGATGGTAAAGTCTTGTACTGTTCAAATATTAGAGTTTGTAGCTTCTTCTTTAGCCACTTTACGACTGCGGCCAGGGGAATGGCTTCAGAGATGATTGTATGATTGTGATTCGTGTCGCACATAAGGAGTTTTCCTCTTGTGTGGTAATAAAGTGATGGGAATCTGCATGCCTGTGAATATTCATGAGCTCCGTGTCAGTGACATAGGGTCCATGTTGATCGCGTTATTTCATGCAAATCATGAACTCTTATCCATGTGGATTATTTGATTTAATGTTTATGTGTTTACTGCTGTTGTCAGGTCAGATTTGATAAGATTATTTTAATAACTCTGGGATAAAACTGGTGTCATCAGAAGCTGCACCATAGCAACAGATAACAGGGACTGAAGCAGTTCATAAAAGTATTTTGTAACGGCATTTACTTGTTTAAAGGTCCAGTGTGTAACATTTAGTAGGAAGTATCACCAGAAATGGAATATAATATAATTTAGCAGGTAGTCTTGAAAAGAGTCCCAGAACTGACAAACCAAAAATGTACATTGTTTTTTCGCAAGTTGTGCAGCCACCGTAGTTTCTCCTTTGTGCTTCATTGAGTCAGGGAGTTTCATTTGTACACACTGGTCCTTTAATTAAATATTTTGCCATGATTTATTAAAGTAGCACACTATTATGGTTGTTTACTGTTTTTTCTCTTGTACAGTGTTTATATTATATTACATTCCTTTTTCATACTCTTACTGTTTTTATACAGTTTTTTTCTCTATC